TGAAATAAATGCAAATATAGAAATAATACAAACAGACTAAACTTTAGTTAAAAGACTCATATTACCAAACTAAAAGTCCAATAAGACACAGTTAAAATATAATGACAGGGAAGGATTAAAAGTCAAAGAAAGAAAAGAGATAAATCAAATGAAAGATATTTTAATAACAAAGCTGGAATTATTAAATTAATATCAGATGGATTCTAAGACTCACAACAGTGCTGGATATAAAGACAGTCACTGCAACATAAGAGTAAATTTACTTCACCAGGAAGACACAGTAAGGCTCAACATAGATAAAGCAAAAATTAACTTACCTATGATGAACAGTTCACCAGTCTCTCAATGGAGGAAAACTTTAACTTAGGAATAGATCAAAGTAAAATTATAAAAAATGCAAAACAAAAAATTTGCTCTTGATCTAGGCATGGTAGTGCATATCTGTAGGCCCAGCTACTTGGGTAACTAAGGCAGGAAGATCACACGGTGAAGGTCAGCCTGGACATTTCTGAACACCCTTTCTCAAAATAAAAAATTTAAAAAGGGCTGGGGGTGTAGTTCAGTGAGAAAGGGCCTAGGTTCAATCCTGGTCTGGCAAAAATATAACAAAACAAAAAACCCCTACAAACTTAAGGACATATAGAGACTACTTCCCCCAATAATTAGAAGCTATTATATTAGGGCACAGTTAGAAGATTTATGAAAATTGATCAGGTACTACTGAGCCAGCCATAAAGCTAGCCTGGACAAATTTTAAGGATTAAACTAAGATAGGTGGACAATCTCAGACCATAATCAATTAGATTAAAACAATAACATAAAAACTGTGCAGGGTGAGGACATAGCTCAGTGGTAGGGCACTTGCCTGGCATGTGTGATGCCATGGGTTCATTCCCCAGCACCAAAAAGAAAACAAGACCATTCCACGCACTTGGAAGCAGGAATTAATGTATGATACTGCATTTCCACTCTTAGGTACATACACAAGAGAAAGGAAAGCATATTCACCCAAAAACGTGTACCTGGATGTTCTTAACAGCATTATTTATAGTAGCCAAAAATAGAAATAACTCAACTGTCCATCGACTGATGAATGGATGAACTGGTAATAGCCAACAGAATATTATTCAGCCATAGAGCAAAGGAAGAAAACTGACATATGCTCAAGTATTGATGAACCTTGAAAACCTTATACTAAAAGAAAGAAGCAGGCAGAAAAGGGCACAGTCTGTGTGATTCCCTTTGCATCAAGTACCCTGAGTAGGAAAATCCACACAGATAGAAAGCAAATTAGTGGTTGTCATGGCTGAGGAGGGAGGGGAGTGGGAAATAGCTGCTAATGGGTGGTTTCTTTTTGTGGGGACGAAAATGTTCCAAAACTGATCTTGGTGATGGTTTTGTGTGATGTACCCTTTGTGTGTCCGTTTCTATAATACATTGCATTATATACTTTCAAAGGGCAAATTTTATGATACCTGAATTATATCTCAACATAGTTATTATTTGAAAACAAAACAGAACTTTCACAGAGAAAATTCAGCTATAGGGCCAAGTTGTTCCCTGCCCAACTCCAGACACTGCCTTTCACATAGGCCAAAAGGTAAGTGGTAGGGCTGGGGGTACAGCTCAGTGACACAGCACTTGCCGAACATGCATGAAGCCCCAGATTCCATAACCAGCACTTCAAGGAATAATAGAGGAAAAAAAAAAAAGGTAAACAGTGCTTCCTTGGAGTTGGCAAAATGGTGGCCCCACCCAGAAAATTTTACCAACCACTCAGGAATATATAATTCTAATATCATATGATTTTTCTCCATGGAATGAATAGGCAGCAATCTCCACCTTTCTTTTTGTTGGTATACCTTGAATCCCAAATCCAGGCAAGGATCAAAAAAGAAGAAAAAATTATAGGCCAACTCTAACAAGGAAAAAAACTGCACTCCAACTTATAAATAGATGTAAGAATCCTAAACAAAATAGTAGCTGATTTTAGCAATAGATTAAAAAGACACTACAACATAACCCAGTTACATTTAGACCAGGAACAAAAGGTTGGTTTAACCTTGGTAAATCCATCGATGTCGTTCATAACATCAACAACTCAAGTGAGTCCTACATGACTGTCGCAAAAGATACACTAATAGAAAAGAGGGTTTTGTAAAATTCATAATTAAAGGGAAAAATCCTGACATACTAGGAATATTAAGACTTTCCATAATCTGATAAAGATTATTTACACATACACAAATATTATATTACATGATAGAATGTGGAAAGCATTCTTTTTGATTGAAATCAAGAACACACAGATGCCTGCCATCCTGACGCCCATCATGCCCTCCCAGATGATTCTGACATCGGTGATCCACTTGGAGAAATTCCAGGTGCCTGTTAAGAAGGCGCCTGGAGACTATGGGATATCTGCTGATGGGTCTAGGCTATAGTTAATAAGAGATTCTCAATTTGACACAAAATGTCCTTATTTCCTAACAGAGCACCATGTAACTTGTAATCTAGACCTCAATGCTTTGTCTCTAAATTAAGTCTGTGTAGATACTTATTCCATTCCTTAAGATGTTTGTTCAAATCTTTCATAATCCCCTAATATACTCAGGCCTATTTTTTTAAGTGCAAGGAAGACTAAAAATTGAAGACAACCTTCTAAGAGAAGAGAGAAACTGCACCTTGCTGAGAACAATGTACTGGCTAGGTGTGTGCCGGGAGGTGCTAGTGCTGAGGTGGGCACCTCCCTGCTGAGATGAGGTCTAGGGAGGGTGGGGCAGTGGCCAAGACCACACCGCCATTCCTATACAAAAGGAGAGGCGGCCACACAGGGCAGCCTGCATAGACCCAGCCAACCACCGAGGAGCTCAGGAAAGGGAGTGGGCACTGAAGAAGGAAGCCAGAGGAGAATGGAGGGTGGGGGAGAGAAGAACTGAATTTGGGGCAGGGCTTTTCAAAGTCCCTTGGCAATAAGTTCTACCTCTCAAAGTGCCCTGGAAGGCATAGGAGAGTTGACCACAATAATGACAATGGACGTGTGGTGGCCTGAAATGCACTTTCTCAGGCCATATGCCAGGCACTTGAAATGGGTTATCTTACTTAATCCCAACCACAATCCTAGGAGGCAGATCCTGCCATCGCTCCCATTTTACAGACACAGAGACTGAGGAATAGAGATTGAGAATTTTTCCTGAGGACACTCCGCAAACCAAGTGTTGAACCACCGAGCCCACCAAAAATAAGGTCGACATTTGTATAAAGTCTCCTGTGTTAATTGTTCATGCAAATTTCTCATTTTATCCTCAATGCTTTGGTATCTATTTTAATTTTTAAAAAAATGCCTTTTCTCTAAATTCTCAAGTGAAATTCCCAGGTAGGCAGAGGCACTGTTTTCTCTGTGGCTTCATGAACCTCAGGCATGATGCTAGAAAGCCCAATAGTGGATGCTGGAGCCCAAGAAAGTTTTGAAGCAAGGTGTGACATGGCTTCTCTGCCCGTAACTTGTGTCATTTCACTAAAAGGGAGAACATCACCCCATCATTTATGAACTGGGTAGAGGACATGCTTGTCTTCAGCCCTCTCTCTGCAGTCCCGACCTTCAGAATCTCCATACAGTCAGGATCCCAGCAGGCTACCTGAGAACCCATTGATACCACTCTCCTGTCTTCACTTCTGTAGCACGTACCCAAATCCAATCCTGACCAAAACACCCGGGGAGACAGCCAGCAGATACCCACCATCTCCACCCGAGTCCCAGCCCTGCCCCATGATTTCCATCTCAAGGCCTGGATCTCTCTCCACCTCGCAAATCCTATTCAATCCTCAAACTCATCTCGAGATCACTCTCTTGACAAAGCCTTCTGCGGTTCCTCAGATTGTTCTCCGAATCCTGTGGAGCACATCTTGTACATGGTAGAGAGTCCATAAAAATGTCACAAATGAACAAAGAGCCAGACTTCCTTCCAGTCATTAATGCTTCCCAGTCATTAATGCTCTGTGCATAGATCCCATCGGAAGAGGAGATGCCCCTTGAGGACAGAGGCAGTGCTCTGCTCAGCAGTGTCATGGAAACCGGCTCCTTTTGAGTTCGCCTGTTTCCTGCCACCATTCTGACCTCCTTTCACCAAATGGCTCTGATTACACCCAGTGCTATCTTCCTGGAGTCACCTGGCTTCCCAGGCTCCCAGGGCCTGGCACGTGCTTCTTCTTCATCTTCCACTCCTGATGCTGAGTTTGTTTGAGAATTACTTTTCAGGGGATGGCTGAAGTGCTGAATGATCAGCTGAGTGAAAGGGGCCTGTGTCCTCCGTGACATCCTCCAGATGAACCTTCCCACTGTGAAATAACATTGCCTCTTCTCCAGTCCAAGAGGAAGGAAAATTGACACTGAAACAGGGGTGCTGTCATATTTTCTTTGCAAGGGAAGAAACCCAGTAGGCCAGTTTGTCATGGCACACGACCAGAAGGCTGTCCCCTGTCTTATTAAAGCAGATCATCAGGATGGCCTCCCAGGCCCAAGAACCCATGGAAAGGTGGTGCTAAGGCCTACTCAGCAGCTCTACCCATTGCATCAGCCCAGGGCCTGGCCTCTTGCCTCCTGCAAAAGATGGGATGATAGCAAAGCCACCCTGCAGTGACTGCTCACCTGGCCTGTTCTCAAGCACCCATAGGAGGATCCTTAAAAAAACTTCTCCTGCCCACCCAGCTGCTGGTGGCTTCCTCTTGTTACCTGACTCTCTAACCTTGACCATTTTGCTTCTGGATGACACACAGATATCTCATGGAAGGGCTACGACTTTAATAGTTTGGGGACTGCTTCCATTTCCAGGTTTAGTGCATATAGGGGAAGCAGGAAGCTCTAATTTCCCCCAGAGGGGAGGCTTGAGGAGAAGAGGCTGTGCAGAGCAGACTGGTTGAAGACATGTAGTCCCCCTGCGGAGGAGGCCAAGCCCTGGTCACATCCTGGAATTCTTCTATGGAAGGAGCAGAGCACATACCTGGGGCACCTGGTCTATGCTGAACAGCCTGGGGATCTTCAGGCTCAGCATCTTGATGTCAGCTTGGCCAGGCTGGTGGGGGTCAGCCCCTGCCTCTCTCCAGGACTCAAAGCCCTGACATGCATGAGGTCCCAAGTTGCTTCCTGAAAGAGGATAGCATGGAGAAATCGAGTCAGTATCCACCTAACTCCAGCTGGATTGTGCAGCTACTAAATGAGCACTTGCTAGTGGTGGCAACAAGTTGAACTTTCTCAAAAGCAACAATAGCAATGCTTTCAGACTGCCAAGTCCTTCCTTCCAAGAGTGCTGGAGGGAGGCCATTGATCCTAATAGGGGAGAGAGCTGTGCTCTCAATGTCTCCTCCTCCAAAATGCATGTGCTGACATCTAAACAATCCCCAGCAGGTGTGAAGAAGTAGGGCCTTCAGGATGTACTTAAGTCATGAGGCCTCCACCCCCATGAACGAGATCAATCCCTTATAAAAGAGGCACAGGAAATTGGTGCAACCACTCTGGAAAGCCATAGGAGATTCCTCAGGAAACCTGGAATGGAACCACCATTTGACCCAGCTATCCCACTCCTTATACCCAAAGGACTTAAAATCAGCATACTACAGTGACCCAGCCACATCAATGTTTATAGCAGCTCAATTCACAATAGCTAAGTTATGGAACTAACCTAGATGCCCTTTAACAGATGAATGGGTAAAGAAAATGTGGTATATACACACATTGGAATATACTAGGCCATAAAAAAGAATGAAATTATGGCATTTGACACAAAATGGATGGAACTGTAGACTATCTTGCTAAGTGAAATAAACCGATCCCAAAAAACCCAAGGCTGAATGTTTTCTCTGATATGCCGATGGTAACACACAATAACAACCGGGAGGGAAGAATAGAAGTTCGTTGCATTCAACAAAGGGGAATGAAAGGAAGGGAGGGGGAATGAGAATAGGAAAGACAGTAGAATGAACCGGACATAACTTTCCTATACTCATATCCGAATACACCACCAGTATAACTCCACATCATGTAAAACCACAAGACTGGGAAGTTATACTCCATGTATGTATGATATGTCAAAATATACTCTACATCCCATGTATATCTAAAAATAATAAATCTTTAAAAATTATAAAAATACATACTTTTTGTAATCTGATTTTTAAAAATTTAATACTATACAGGAAGCATATTATTATGCCATTAAACATAAAGAGGCACAAGGGAGCTTGCTTGCCACTTCCATCAGGTGAGGACACAGAGAGAAGGTGCCATCTGAGAACAGGTCCCTTGCCAGACAGCAAACCTTCTGACTGACACACACACACACACACACACACACACACATATATATAGTTGTTGATAGATCTTTATTTTATTTATTTACATGAGGTGCTAAGAATTGAACCCAGAGCCTCACCTCACTCATGCCAGGCAAGTGTGCTACTGCTGAGCCCCATTCCCAGCCCCAGCCCCAACCCCCTGCTGACATTTTGATCTTGGATTTCCCAGAATCCAGAACTGTGAGCAATACATTTCTGTTGTTTATTAAATTACCCAGTTTAAGGTATTTTGTTATCATAGCCTAGATAGAGTGAGACAGTGGTCAGAAAATTGGGGAGCTAGAAAGGGCTGGAGAGGTCATCCAATCCCCTCATGTTATATGTGAGGATCAGACGGGTGGAGTAACTTCCCCAGAGCTGCACAGCTGTGGAGAGCTGGGGCCACACACTCTCCACTCCACTATAGGGTGCCCCTGGGCAGACAGTGGGTTCTCTAGCCTCATCAGCTCTGTGCCCAGGAGAGGATGAGGAACTGTGCCCTCTTCCAGAAGGCTGGCCAGAGCTTGTCTTGGTTGCCCTAGACACACAAAAGAACCAGGCCAGTCAGAAAACCCAAGGAGACAGAGCAATCGGGAGTAAGTAATAAGGTTGCTTAAATGCAGGATTAAGCAGCAATAAGTAATGTAAACTAGAGAAATCCAATGCTCTCAATACAGGCCCAGGAAACAGAAAAAGAACAGAGGTGGAATTTGCCATAGTCAATATCTCCTCTACCCCATCATCACAGGTCCAAAGTCTCCTGCTTCCTAGGGTCGTCCCCTTGTTCCCATCCAATGAGAGGGTTTCTTTCCCTGACTCTGGAGGCCTGGAGACCCAGCCCAAAACTCTCTTGGGGCACCAGCCACATTTGACCTTCAGTCAAAGCAAGCTCCCTAGGGCTCAGGTCCCCCGGGGGGAAGGACCCTCCCATGGCTGATTGGAAACCCTGATCCTTCAGCAAATAATCAGCAAATGATTATTTAATGAAGCAATGCAGCTCATTCTTTGAACCTAAAGTGCTTTTAAGTTTTGTGGTTTGTTTCCTTTTACTTCTTATTTTTCTTTAGGTTGTCTTTATTATCTGGAGCCCTGTAGCAAAATACAATCCGTTTCTGTTTCACGGTCATAAATTCGCTTCTTTCTCAAAAATACTGATGTAGGCATCATCCACAATAGGCAAGCGGTGGAAGCAATGACGTGGCCCCCAACCCATAAATGGATAAACAGCAGAAGTGTAGATAGACCATGAAATGGCTTTTAACCTTAAAAAAGGAGGAGATTCTGGTACACACCGCCACATGGATGGACCCTGAAGACCTTATGCTAAGTGAAGAGAGCTGGTGACAAGCATCAATCTGATATGCATCCACTCACACAGGTACCTAAAGGAGTCCCATCCACAGGAGCAGGAGGCGGAGCAGAGGCCCCTGGGATGGGGGAGGGGAGGTGGGGTGCTGGCGTTCAAGGGGTTTGAAGTTTCTCTCTGAGGTGATGAGAGGGTTCAGGAGACGGGTGGTGGCAACAGTTACAAAGCAGCGTGAATGCACTTAATGCCATTGAACTGTATGTTTAAAATTGTAAATTTTCTGTTATGTGTATTTGATGACAAGAAAACAGGTCTGCAATATTTCAAAATTACAGAATTATAAAGATAATAATTTTTTAAAGTTCAGATGCTTTTTACCCATGTTAAAAAATAAAAATTGACACTATACCAGCAAACAACACTGCCTCTGAGCGGGGCGTGGCACACCTGGCCTCTCCCTCTCAGAAGCAGCCGTCACCCACCCAGCGGCAGGAACACAGGCCAGACCAGGCGAAGCTCAAGCTCACCCGAAAAACCCCAGATGATATTGGGAACCAAAGCTAGGGCTCCCCAGTCTGTTTCCAGCACCCCTTATTTCTCCTGGGACTTGACTCAATTTCATGGGTGAGAAAAAGACCCAGTCCTTGCTCTGGAAGCACCCATTATCTAGGTGGGATGACCCAGCAGCCACACAGAAATGAGGATGTTCCAAAGAAGCACAGGATTCACTCATCTCTTCATTCAGCCATTGTCTGCTGCACTTTAATCATGTGCAGAGTAAGAGCAGGGGCAAATGGATAGTGTCTATTCTCTGCAGGCTGCAGCAACCTTAAGGAAAGGCTGAGGACTTAGCTGATAGAAGAATTGTATTGGTTTTTGCTGCACGGAATAGGGGAGGGGAGTAGGATCCCCCACACCATGCCATTCCCTCATTGCACAAGGAAAGGAAAGATGCGTGAGACAGTCCTTGTGCCAAGAAATGAATAAAAACCAGACACACACCTGCTTTAGTCAGGGTTCTCTGGAGAGAAAGAACAGATAGAGATAGGATATACAGATAGAGATACACAGGAGAGGACTTACCAGGAGAACTGGCTTACACAATTATGGATACTGAAAAGCCCCATGATGGGCTGATTACAGGCTGGAGACCCTGGGATGCTAGTTGTATGGCTCAATCCAAGTCCAAAAGCCTCAGAGCCAGGGAAGCCAACAGTGTGACTCTCAGTCCAAGACCAAAGGACTGAGAATCCTGGGGGTTGGGTAAGTGCAGGAGTCCAAAGTCAGAGAACCTGGAGTTCTGACATCCAAGGGCAGCAGAAGATGGGTGTCCTGACCCAGGAGAAAGAGAAAGAGAAAGAGGGAGGGAGGGAGAGAGAGAGAATATGAATTCGTCTTTCCTCTGCCTTTTTATTCTCTCTAGGTCCCCAGGAGATTGGGGGCAAATTTTTCCCACACAGTGCCTCCACTCACACACCAATGTCCTCTGGAAACACACTCCCAGACACACCAGAAATCATGCCTTACCAATTCCCTAGCTATTCCTTAATCCAGTCAAGTTGAGCCCTCAAATTAGCCATCACAACATCCAACTAACTAGCATGGGTCACCCTGAGGAGGAGGGGACTCACCCACTCTCCACCAGTCCAGAGTCTCCTCTCATCCACCCTCACCACAGCCTCCAGGAGGCCGGGCAGAGGAGCAGAGGGCCTGGCTCTGCATGCCATCCACCCAGGTGCAGAGACTGCTCTGCTGTTTCCTGCACAACCCTTAATAAGCCACTTAACTCTCTGTGCCTCAGTCTTATCTGCAAAATGGAAATAACAGCAGTGCTTTCTCATGGGGCTGCTGTTAGGATTGGAAGAGATGAGCCATGTAAAGAGCTGCCATAAAGACAGGGTTCAACAAGCACCAGTCATTCATATTAATTTTCAGACAGGAGAATTAATTTCATAAAATTGATTATGAAGCATTGAAAGTTCAGGGGATCTTCCCAGATCACAGAGCTGACAGGTGGTAAAGCTGGGATTTGATCTCTGGTTCACCTGAAGGTCTGAGGAGGGAGTCTGGGGGTGGAGAGATGTGGAAGCTTCCTTGAATTGTGCCATTTGCACTGAGCACGATAAATTGCAGAGATTCGAGAGACTTTGAAATTTTCTGCAGGCCTTAGTTATGCCCTGTATTATAGAATGAACATTTATATTCCCTCCAGGATTCAGATTTGGAAACCTAATCCCCATGTGATGATATTCGGAAGTGGGGCTTCAGGGTGCAACTAGGCCATGACAGCAGAACCCCCAGGAATGGGACTCATATTCTTCCAAAAAGGTCCCTGAGAGGTCATGCATCCTATTGCCATGTGAGGATACCGTGAGAAGACACAGTCTAGGAACCAGAGTGGCCTTCACCAGACACAGAAACTGCCAGAGTCTTGATGTTGGTCTTCCCAGCCTCCAGAATTGTGAGAAGTAAATTTCTGCGGTTTATAAGCCACCTAGTCCATGGCA